ACACAGGCTACATAAACAGCAATAAATCAGCATTTTCCACAAATACTACATTTCCATCATCTGAGAGAATGTGGAAAACAGCTTCATGTTTTTAACTACAGTGGATGCTGAGGATGTTTTCATGTGTGAATTAATCCTGCCTCTTGAGAGGACATGAGGATCCCTGGCACAAAGCAGCCATTTGAAAATTGAGGATAACATAAGGAAGAAAGTATGGCAGCCAAGAACCTGGCTAAGCAGTTACATGTCCCTGCCGCCTTACCATCATCATCATCACCACCATCATCACCTTCATCACGACCACCACCATCACCACCATCATTATCACCACCAACATCATCATCAGTTTCATCACCACTACCATCATCACCACCATCATCATCACCACCATCATCATCATCATCACTATCATCACCTTCATCACCATCAGCTTCATCACCACCACCACCATCATCATCACCAACATCATCATCATCACTATCATCACCTTCATCACCACCACCACCATCACCACCATCATCATCACCAACATCATCATCAGCTTCATCACCACCACCACCACCATCATCATCATCATCATCATCATCACCACCACCATCATCATCATCACTATCATCATCACTATCATCACCACCATCATCACCACGACCATTCTCAAATCTTTGTAGTTGTTTACACTGCTAAAATATACATGTTTCTCAGGGGATGGAACCAACTTTGAACATTTCCCATAAATTCAAAGTATCTTTAAATGCAATCTTTTCTATTTTAGAATGTACAAAATTAGTAATTCCTGCATATAATTTATTAAGAAAGGGGAGATTCTAAATATAGCAAGAATGGGGCTAGAGTTCCATGAGGGAGCATAAGCTTTCCATGTACAGTGCCCTGGTTTGATCCCTACTATCACAGAAACACAATAGCAGGGGCCTTCATTTTAAGGGCAGAAATATGAGATCTGAGAAGACATTTTTGCATTACTTATCTAAAAGTCTTTCTTCCTAGCTAATAAGAGAGGGTGTGTGTTGTGTAGGGGTGAGCCCATAATACTGTCCATGCCCCTTTGGGCGTGGGCAGGAGGATGGGCACAGGTGAGGATAAAAGTAAAAGCTCTTTCTCTCTTGGAAGTGGGCCACATTCGCAGAGCTTCCATCCCTGTTTATCTTGTAAGTATATTTAATAAATATATTGGCGTGGACAATACTGTGGGTTCATCCCTACAGAGGTAGGTAGGTAGAGGGGTGTGTGTGTGTGTGTGTGTGTGTGTGTGTGTGTGTACACGCGCACGCGCGTGCAAGTGCCAAACACCACAGAAAAGAAAATGTTTTAGTTGCTTATTAAGGAGATGAACCCAGGGCTGTTGAAATGGCTCAGAGGTGCCATCTACCATACCTGACAGCCTAAATCCAATCCCTAGACACACATGGTGAAAGGAGAAATGGACTCTCCTAAGCTGTTCCACACATACATACAAACAAATGATATTTACTTTTTTGTTAAAAAGTAGGTAAGCCCCCAACCTCCACTGTTTGTTAAAGTTGTTGCCCAAATATGGCCTCCTGAATTCTTCCAGCTACTAGCTTCCATCCAGCTGGAGTGGGGGCCAGTCTGAGTCAGGAAGATGTCACACAGACAGCAGACAACGCAAGGGTTGTGATATTACTCAATATCACAGAGGAGGCCAACAGCATTGTCTAGACGATTACATATTTGCAAGTAAACAGACATGGCAGTCACCTACTATTTCAAAAACTACAAATAAAACTCTCAGGCAAGAGCTAAGATACATTCTACCTAAATCACTCTCATGTCTAGAAGTAACTCAAGCTCAAGGGACCAGTTCCTAGCAGATACAGTTCCTGAATCTTTTAATCAAGCAGGAATTAAAGTCTATTTGAATAACTTAATATAACTCTAGCTTCTTGGCTTCTTCAAAACTCGCTCTCATCATTTCTTACTTACATATTCATATCCAGACTGACTTCTACAGGAGGTATCAAAAGTAACTGCTTATGCTGGCTAGTTGTCAACTTGACACAAGACAGAAGAGGACCCCTCAGCTGAGGAATTGCCACCATGACACTGGCCCGTGGGCAAGTCCCGTGGGGCATTTTCTTGGTTGATGACTGATGGGAGGGGGCCAGCTCACTGCGGGCAGTCCCACACCTGGGCTGTGGTCCTGGCTTCTATAAGAAGCAGACTGAGCAAGCCACCTGAAGCAAGTCAGGAAACAGCACCTCCATGGCCTCTGCATCAGCTCCTGCTTCAGACCCAACTTCCCTCAATGATAGACAGTTAAGCTGCAAGCCAAATAATCCCTTTCCTCCCCACGTTGTTTTTGGCCAAAAAGGTTTATTGCAACAAACTAGGACATTAGTATTTTGGGCTCTCAAAATGGTTCATGGGGTAAAGACATTTGCCACCAAGCCTGAGGACCCGAGTTCCATCCCCAGGACCCACAAGGCAAAAGAAGTGAATTGAGTGCCATAAGTTGCCTTTGAGCTCTGCACCTATGCCATGGCACACACCACTAAACCATACAAAAGACATTTAAATTTTAATGAAATATACTAATAATTAGTATTTAGCTTTTTAACAACTACCCACATGTGTTTTATATACCCCCACATTAAACTCCTGAGCGATAAGAGACATACTATTTCTTATTATTTTCCTCTCCTATCATGGTCCTTCAAAGAACACATAGTTCAGTGCAAGAGAATAAGTCTCAGCCATGTTAACATTTAAATAAAGTAGGAAATGTGGAAAAAGAAAAACAGACAAAATTTTAAAATTACCGATATAATTGGGAGATGAGACATCTTGCTGGAAGCCAGAAAGCAATTTTAAGTCTCTTCATTCTTTATCCCGTATGTAGGAATTCATCACAGAAAGCCAACTGCATTACTTGCCATCACCAACAACTTTGTCTTTTTTAAAGTTTTTAATTTATTTTTATTTTATTTATGTGTATGAGTCTTTTGCTTGCATGTATATCTGTATAATACTTGCATGCCGGGTGCCAAAAGAGGCCAGAAGAGGGCATTGGATCCCCAGAACTAGAGTTACAGGCAGTTGTGAGCCTTTATGTGAGTGGCAGGGATTGAACCCTGGTTCTCTGGAAAAGCAGTCAGTGCTCTTAACTGCAGAGCCATCTCTCCAGCCCCTTCCTTGTCTTAGAGAATTCTCAGGTTCACACTCTATCATATTCTATTGATTTGAAGACAGCAATAATCTATTCTCAATTAAGTGCAACCTACAACTCATTAAAAAGAACACAACATTTTTAATGTAAACAGATCATCAAGTGTTTTTAGGATTTTATAGTCAACTATGCCCTCAAGTTCTTGGTGCATATAGACTTACTAGAACAACATGAAGTTACATTAATTATGAATATTGTTATGTATGATAATACATAACATATTGTATGCTAACGACTAAGGTGAAAATGTTATAACAGTACAAAAATGAGTAAGTGAACAGAGCTGCATCTGCTTCGGCAACAATGACAAATTATGGGGAAAAAAAAAACTCTTGGGAAATCTGGGAACTAAAAATCTACAAACACTGCTGTGTGGGTTCCCAGGAAAGTCCGGGGGAGCAAGCTTCCTTCTGTGGCAAAGCCACAAGAAAACTGACGCTGGACAGATGGACCAGGAGCCTGAAGAACTGACAATCAGACAGATGAACCTGGGCTAACCTAGCAGTACACTACTTTTTATTTTCAAAAAAAAATAAGTGAAAGCCAATGGCAACTACTCCTAGGAGTGTTTTATCCCCCATGCACCCTATGAAATATGATGGAAGCCCTCTTTGTTGTTTTGGCTACAAAGAAATCAAAAGGCCCCTAATTTTTCAGGAGCCAACTAAAACGGAAAGCAAAACCAAAAGAAAAGCAACAACAACAAAAGCACTGGTGTTACTATCTGCTATAAAGAGTTGCTGTAGCTGGTTTGCTGGAAATTTTGAACCTTAAAATTGGATGTATATGTTATGCATCATGAGCCTGGCTAACTAATTAGGTCCTGCCCTTTATACACCACGATGCTAGCATTATGATAAAAGATTCAGGCTGAACATGGGAGCCTGTTTTCATTAGGATAGAAGGACTAAAACAACTCTACCCTCTCTCCCAAAACTTCAATGTCAGAAAGGATTTAGGGAACATGGAGTCAGAATCTGATCAGAGCAGCCAGCTACAAAGTTTAAAACAAAAATTGTAAAGGAAGCAATGTTCTTGAAACCCTAGAGCTAGTCTGCAGCATTGTTATACTACGTCATCCAAAGTAGACTAAGGCACGTGTAGCAAGCACTAGCTTAGTTTAATGGGAATTGGGAATGCAAACTGTCCATCTGGCTAGAGAGCTCAGGGGTCCTCAACAACTTCCTTTTTTGTTTGTTTTGGGATTTTTTTGGTTTTATTATTTTATTTATTCATTCAGTCATTCATTCATCCACCCATCCATTCATTCATTTATTTTTGGTTTTTCAAGACAGGGTTTCCCTCTGTAGCCCTGGCTGTCCTAGAACTCACTATGTAGACCAGAGATCCAGATGCCTCTACTTCCCAAGTGCTGTGATTTGTACCATACCACACTCAGACACTCCAGAATTTTCTTAAAGTGACTGAACTCACAAAGAATGGCTACCTCCCTTCCTCTTGAAATGCTTAACTGTCATTCTTCTCCTGTCCTCCTTCAAAACCTACATGAATTCCTGAAAACAGCATACTAGCATCCTTATAAACACCGTCAGAGAGAGGACACAACGATGCTATGTCAACATCCTTTTAGAGCCTTGCCCTGCTGACACATGGGGACGTCCAAGCACCAAGAGCAATAGGAAGAGCTGTATAAATTTAAGACAATGGGCATCTTTAATACTTCTGTGGCTTAATCACAAGGATGATCAAGAATGGCAGAGATGATTAACGCACGCATCACGGTCTTGTGCTGGTCCCTACAAGCATGTAATCAGAGGTTCCCAGGTAAACCTACCTCAAGTTTAAGTAGGTTAACATCTGCAAATTAACAATGGCCTCGGGGATGACTCGGATACAGTTGTGATACAGGTTAAGGATCTCCAGGGATACGAAATGGCACAGTTCCATCGGCACTTCCACCAGCCTGTTTTTAGACAGATCTACGAGAAAAGGGAAGAACGCTGTTAGTACATCAGCATCCCAGATGCCTCGTCCCTGTTCCCGTGCCATGATCCGAACTTTATCAGCATTGTTGGTTTTGTGCCTCTACTGCGATTTCTACTGCTTGGGCAAATTCAGAAGCATGGGTAAAAGGGAAACAAACGTGCTGGTGAGGCTTTAGGTATCTGGTTTGTAAACCCGGCTACTTAAAAGGAGCTTTTCACCATGTTTTGGTAAATATCTTCGGCAAGAATAAACCTTGTCTTCTCATACATGCAAATACACAGTTACCATAACTATTCACTTAAGTATGCATTCATTATATGCACTAACTCCAATCAGAGTCCAACGCTAATGCAGGAGGAACTTGTCTGTTATATCCCCTACAAACAGGCACATAATCAGCACTTTAGAAAAACGTTTTATTCACCGGAGTACTTATGATGTACAAGACCAAGATAAATCAATTATGTCTACTAAGAGCCAATGTGAGCCAGGCGTTGGTGGTGCACGCCTTTAATCCCAGCACTCAGGAGGCAGAGGCAGGTGGATCTCTGTGAGTTCGAGGCCAGCCTGGTCTACAGAGTGAGTTCCAGGACAGCCTCCAAGACAATACTGAGAAACCCTGTCTCGAAAAAACAAAAAACAACAACAAAAAAAAGAGCCAATGTGTGTCTGCCAGACAATTACCAGCAAAAGTGAAATCCACAGCCAAGTCCATAAAAACAGGGCAGTGACCGGTGGGAAGATGTGGACACGTAGCACCCCCAGATAAAATGATGCAATATCCTTCATGGAGAAATGTGAGAACAGGAGACGTGACATCAAATATAGGAAAGAAAAGACGCCACAGTTGTGAGGAGTGAAGCCCAGTTACTTGGAGGATAAACTGGGAACCTCATGTTCATGAACTTAAAACTTGCCAGACATCTTGAAAGAAGAGGAAGAACTGGACACATGAACACAATACTTATGGCAAAGCAAGCAGTAACGCCATACCTGAAACCCATGATAAAGAATGGGGGACGGCAGCGCTTCCATCCACAAGCCTAGCAGACTCCTCTTATACAAAGATGAGGAGATGCTATCATCAGGAGGACTGGGGCTGAGGACAAGGCTCAGCAGGGGAACGGTACCCAGCCACCTGAAGTCCAGGGTTAGATCTCCAGCCCCACAACCAGAAGGAGAAACAGCACGTTCAAAAGGGAACCCAAGAGGTTCCCATGCATATGAACAAAAGTAACCAACACTGTTTCAATTAAAGTAACATAAATTGCAACCCCACCAATGGTATTTTTGTTAAACCTTTTACAATGGCGAATATCAAACAATCTAATCCAGACACTGCCATGCTGAAAACATGGTTAACAAAGGGCTCTTCACTGCTGACATTTTAGCAGCATCTGCATTAATAGAACCGAGAGCGAGGAGAAATGGAGGCACGGATCACACAACAGGAAGTTATTTAAAATGAGTAAGTCTAGGAAGGGTCTTACAGCTCAGGATTCCAGTTCATATTAGGATATTAAATACCGGGTCGAGTGAGCTGGCTCAGCAGGTAAAGGCACTTACCACCAAGCCTGAGAGTGGTTCAATCCCAGGACCTACACAGCCAATGGAGAGAGCCATGCCTGTAAATTTACCTCTGACCTCGATACATATGCCACAGGTCTCACCTCCCCACTCAAAACTAAATTAAAAAAAAAACAGAGGGGCTAGAGAGATGGGTCAGTGGTTAAGAACACCTGTTGCTCTTGCAGAGAACCCAGATTCAGTTCCCAGCAGTCATATGAAGTTCATAACCATCTGTAACTACAATTCTGGCGCCCTCTTCTGACCACCAAGGGCACCAGGCTCACACTTAGTGCACATACACATATGCAGACAAAAACAACTGTAAGCTATAAAATAAAAGACTACTGCCTGATGCCTGAGTTCATCCTATGGGACTCACATGGTAGGAGGAAATGGATTCCTGCAAGCTGTTCTCTGGCCACCAGGCCTGAGTCATAGCAGGAGAGCAGGAGCACTTACACACATTCACACAGTCCATGTTCTTTAAAGAAGATGAGGGTCAGGAAAGATGGCTCAGGGAGTAAAGAGGCCTTTAGTGAAACCCTGACAACTTGGGACCTATTCCCCAAACCCATGAAAAGGTAGAAAGTGAGAACTAACTCCATAAAGTCGTCCTCTGGCTTTGACATGAGTTCCATGAGCTGCACGTACACCCACTCTCAACACACACACACACACACACGCACAGGCACACGCACACGATATACACATACACAAAATAATAACAACAACGGACACATGAATAAAGTTGCTATCGGGATGAAGGTGGGAGGTGGGTGGGCAGCTCCTCCTGTCTGAAATGCCACATGGGTTTCTCAAATGCCTTCAAAAGGTGGTTGACTTCCTCTCTAATAGGCTCCCTTTTAAAAGAATACTGTAGACTGGAGATACACTAAAACATTTCAGTATGTTCCCACCCCCACCACCACACACAAAGGTTAACTATGTGAAACGATACATTACCTGATTTGCCTGACTATGTCACCATTTCATAATATATTATATGTGCTCATATGTTAAACAGATTAAATACATAGAATATACACATGTATATACACTTTAACCCAATCTTTTTTCATCTACAAATATGAATGTGCAAATGGTATGTTTTTAGCAGAGTTTGAAATCACACAAGTTAGAAAGTAACTTAAAATATCAGTGGAAGGCTGATTAAATATTTATACTCTATTAATAAATATCATAAACAATGCTTATATTAAATCAACCAATAAATATGAATGTAACAGTAACTGTGTTTCCTGTGATGTGGTGGAATACTGAAACATCACATCCTTCAAGGAACACTAGTGCTATGCACTCACTGGCACGCATGAAAGAGACCTCTGTGGCTGACAAAGGATCATCTCTAAGAAAAATTGCCTCTGCTGGTAAGTGACCAACAAGCCAAGCTGAGGCCAGGCATTTATAAGTAATAAAAACTCTGTGTGTGTGATTTACTTGGCAGCTGGGTGGCAAGCCCCCAAAAGAGCAAAGACAAAAGAGTAAAAGAGTCAAAAACAACCAACAACAGGAGTGTAAACCCTTCGCACTGTAAACCCTCCTGTACCTGCAAAGACGTGTGTGTGTGTGCGCGCGCGTGCGCGTGTGTGCGTGAGTGTGTGTAGATGAGATACACTATTAAAATATTAAAATCCACATGTATATAAACACACATCTAAAACACTCTTCCAGAAGGAACACCCACATTCTCACTCTCATTACAAAATGAATGTGTGCCTTGACAAAAAACTGAAGTGACTGTCAAGTCTCAGGCATGGGGAGGGTGTGAAGCAAATTTCCTTTCCTGAATGTTTAGGACCAAAACAGAAAATAACGATTCCAGAAGACATGAACATTTTCATGTGCTACAAAGCAGGAATGTGCCCAGAAAACATAGACTGCTGTTTTCTGAGTTCGACTCAGAGAATCCCACTGTCACAGAGAGACAACTGTGGCGTGTGGCTTGGTGTCTCCGGTGTTTACAGGACAGACTGTTTGCCATCCTTCCCTCTTATCTTCTCCTCTGTCCCCAGGTCTGGGGGAAAGGTCAGCATTCTTCCTCCCATTTTACTCTGGACAGAATGGTCTGCCCTGCCAGGAGGCTTTATTCCTACCTGCTAAAAGGAAGCCTTGACGCATCCTCGTTTTAAATTCGATTTAACATTTTCCTCCTAAACTCTTATTTTGTTTGTTTCTTTGCTTGGTTTGGGGATTTTGTTGATTTTCCTTTTGGAGATGGGATATTACTATACAGGCTCAGGTTGGCCTAGAACTCACAACCCTCCTGCCTCAGCTGCCAGTGTCACCACCTGACCGCAGGCCGGCCTCATCAGTACCATCTGAAACTGTTGTGGTTGTGTTTGGTCTTGAGACAGGGTCTCATGTAGCCCAAGTTTGACCTTGAACTCTCAGCATAAGTAGTGATGGCCTTCAACTTCCGATCTCCCTGCTGGGTTTAGGCAGGTGCTGCTATAAGATGAACCCAAGACCTCGAACCCTGGACCTTATACACACTGAGCAAACACGCTACCAAGTGAGCTATATTAAAACTGTTGTGTTTCATTGTTCTGTTCTCTATATACCTTTTCAGAAACTCTGAAAGGAGCTAGGCTATATATATACATCAGAAATAAAGTTCTAAGCTGATGACCGTGGGTATCCACCATGACCAGGTCTTCACTGCCTCCAAGAAAGTAGATCTCCATATGCACCAAGCTGGTGACAATTTCTCTTTGTCATGAGCGCCTGTATTTCTGGATTTGTGTCAGTTTCTACTTTAAAAGGTAAGAAATCTACACACAGCCTAGACTCTCCCAATGGCCACACAAAAACAGCTGCTCCAGTCAGCAGTGTGGAAATGGTTTGGGTTAATTAACTGAATGCTGAATTATTTACATACTCATCAACATTGCTTTCTACAGAAATGGAAAACTACACACATTCAAGGAGCTTAAATGTTGAATCCCCAGTAAGGCACAGACTAGTGAAAAGCAGAACTGATTCCCAGCCCTGTGAACAGCTACCTAGGCTTCCTGATAACCCTTATTCACTCAGCATCACATGACGAGTGCCAGGCAAACCAACTGACCATCTGAGTATATCTTGTAAAAAGAAACACCATTAACAACTGGCCTTCTGCTGGGGACCTGGTCAGCAGTCACTGTAAAAGCTACATGGCCTCCGGCCAGGTCTTCAACATGTTTCCCAAATGAAGGGGGTGTGTCCCAGTGCCTCTATTCTCCACCCAGCAAGAGCAGGCAATTGTCCTAGCTGGAAACCCACCCTGGGGTCTTGGTCTACAGCGGGGAGTCAAGTACACCCCAGGGCAAACACACACTTGGGCAGCTAACCAGCACCCCTAGGACACGTCTGCCCACATCCGCTGCTTAATTGAAGTATTCACACAACAGCCAAGCAGTCAGAA